ATCGTCTTTGCTTTGCATACGTCTGATCAACAACTTAACTTCTTACAGAAAGAGAGATGAAGACTGGAAAATGGGTGACATTATTAACACACTTACCAACAGAAGGTGGTTGGAAAAGTGTGTTGCCTATGCAGAGAGTCATGATCAAGCTCTGGTTGGTGATAAAACTATTGCTTTCTGGTTGATGGACAAGGTCAGACAAAATATTATCTAAGTTAGCCTACAAATACACTGGTGATGGGTCTGCTTCTTTTGCTTGGGCATTAAAATTCCTAGATAATACTTTTCTTTTATATTCAAAATGGTTTGATTGATGCTTATTTTGTCGAGTATTCTGATTCAACTTGATCTTTTGTAAGTTATGTGGTGTTTAGAAACATTTACCAAATTAATGTCGCCACCTGTGCTTCTGCTGCAAGTTCAAAGGGATTGGGTGCTGAATAGTTTGTATAACTGTGCAAATGATTTGTGCTTAAAATTACTGCTTTTGGATGTTAATGAGATAGCTTCTCATGAACATTATTTTTCATTATAGTGGAAACTTGAATGTACATGATTGACAGTGATGAATTAACATGTATATCTTATGATGATTCATCAGTCTTACGGCTTCTTTTCAGGATATGTATGATTTCATGGCACTGGATATACCGTCAACTCCTGTTATAGATCGTGGAATAGCGTTACACAAGATGATCAGGCTCATTACAATGGGATTAGGGGGGGAGGGATATTTAAATTTCATGGGAAATGAATTTGGACATCCTGGTGAGTTGTCCTTCTTTCATATATTTGAGAATTATGTTTGAGGATTCTCTTTCTAATTGTTGCCTGCTACACCTCTTGATGGTTCTGCAATAACAAGGGCTCATTACTTTTTCTTGAGTAGAATGGATCGACTTTCCAAGGGAAGGGAACGGTTTGAGTTATGATAAATGCCGGCGAAGATTTGATCTAGTAAGTTTCTTATCAGCCTCCAAACCAATATTGCCATGCTTGTTTTCAAAATCAAGAATATATCTCTCTGCAATTTCATATAGAACAGCTTGCTATTCAACTCAAGTCATCAGTAAGGCTCAAAATATTGTAGACTACAGAATAGAAATAAGCCAAGAATAACAGATGCCTGATTTTCTTTCTTTTTGTTGGTTAGAAAGTCTGGCTACAATTTCTACACTTCATTTGTCAGCCTGATTTCTTTATGACATGTAGGTAATTCAACATGCTTTGTTTTAATTTCCAGAGAAGATTCTAAAACTGCCAGTGTTCTTCTAGTTCACCTTTCTCTTGTTAGATCCTGTTTAATCAACATATGTCGAGCATTTTTAAATTTGTCTTCACTCTTTAGCGTCCGAACCAACTGTGTCAGCGCCATTTAACTGCTTGATATGGACATAGATGCCCAATCACTTTACATAGCCCTTCTGTTTCTTGTAACTGTTCCGTCACGAAATTTTTCATGAAGCTCTTGTGGACTTCAATGGGCTACATAGCACAAGAGAGAGGATTAACTTTGTGCGAGTACCCCAAAACCATTATAGAAGGCAAACACGATCCGAAAAAAGAAATCGTGAATGTTCTAGAGAAGCTAGTTTCTTTGCTGAACTCTATTCTGTATTAGCGTCATGGAGTCAGTTCTGCATACTGATAATCACATTTCCATCAAATGTCCAAGCTTGCTATAGATTTGTGAACTTTCAAGCTACTAGGGGGCATAAGCACTATCCTTAACTAGCTTGACTTGCATTTAGTTTTCGGAACATGTACATGTTTTATCTCACCTTATCTGTTATTCTATTTTTATTCTTCTTTTGTTGACTAACGTAGGGCCATTGATATTACTCCTTGTTTTGCTGTTTCTTGCAAACTGATGTTCCTACTTGTATAGGGAGATGCTGATTATCTAAAATACCGGGGACTGCAAGAATTTGATCAGGCTATGCAGCATGTTGAAGAAGCTTATGGCGTAAGTTTTTAATGTCACTCTTGTAAGGTTCTATATGATGAAAAAGTGCTGCAATCTCACAATTTACCTTTTGGATGTGAAAAATGAGTAGAGAAATGGCCCATGGGGTTTGGAGGATAGCGTATGATTTGGAGGAACTTGAGCATTTCTATTTGCGAAGACACCACTAGTTTCTATGTAGATTATGTTCTTGTTGACGAGATGATTCAATACCACTCTAGCTTCATTCCGCAGGCTCCTCTGAAGGATATATTCACTTCTGTGACCTTGTACATCAAATTATATTCACCTCTGTGACCTTGTACATCAAATTCTCACCACAATCTATATTAAGAATTTTCGACAGTCAGAAGTAGGCCAATCTTGGATTAAATAATGGCTTTATGCAATTTGTTTACCTGAGCATGTTTGTTTTTCGTTTAATAAGAGAATTTCACTGTTAGGCACCAAGGGGGTGCCAACCTAGTAACAGAAAGAGCTCAAAGCATAAAGGGACCTCATTCAAAGAATAGGGAATCCGCAAAATCAATGAAAGCATTTACATCCAATTACCAAAAGTATGAAAGTTTAAACCAGTTTTGCCCTTTTTAGGGGGTTTCCATTTTTGTAGGGACAATGCCCTTGTTGTGATAGGGCTATATTCTTCTGTTTTGCCAATAAAAGAGTACACTTCCACTTTCTATGCTTTTTTTTGTGATTCTCCAATATTTTCTTGTGGTCCGGACACCTATTTAGAAAAAACAATGAATTCTGATTTTGATGCGCTGCAGTTCATGACTTCTGAGCACCGATACATATCCAGGAAAGATGAAGGAGACAGGATCATTGTCTTTGAAAGGGGAAACCTTGTGTTTGTCTTTAATTTTCACTGGAATAATAGCTACACGGATTACCGTATAGGCTGCTTGAAGCCTGGAAAGTATAAGGTATTTCCTTGTAAATCTTCTATGGCGATTCCAACACATGCTAAATCTCTCCTTGCATGTTGGTGATTTCACTGATATATTAGGCAGTCTTGTCCTGCATGCACCTGTGATTTTATATCTCCTGCATTTTCAATTTCGATCTTAATTCTCAATATAGATACGTCAGATTGTTCTACCCTCTGCTTTGAGCTTTTGACTACTTCTGTCATCAGCATGCCCTCACATTATAGTGTTCTCAGATAACTGATTTCTTCCCGGACGCTAAAAGATCAAGCAGAAAGAATTTCACCAATTTATTTTTTTCATGGCTCTTTCTTTTTCTTCCCCATATTAAACTGGAGTTTGCATCTTCCCCTTTGGATAAGTTCGCTTGAGTGTGTCTAAACTATGTTGTTTCTTCATTCAGATCGTCTTAAATTCGGATGATGCCTTGTTTGGAGGGTATAGTAGGATTGATCCCTCCGCGGAGTACTTCACCTTTGTAAGATTTTCACTCAGGCTCTGTACAACATCTTTCTTGTTTTCTTTTTTCTCTTTTCCCCTCAGGAGCTCATTAATTTGAATTAAGCAATCTTAATTTCTGGTCTGTTCAATGCAGGATGGGTGGTTCGACGACCGACCCCATTCCTTCCTGGTGTATGCACCTTCCAGAACAGCTGTAGTCTACGCCCTCGTAGAGGATGAGCAACTACCTGTTAAAGACTTGGAAAAATCTTGAAATGCTTCAGTCTGATGTACAACCGATGTGTACACAGGGCCAGTCTATGCAAAGTGGCATCTGGGCAAAAAGAGGTGCAGGAGCCCTTGGAGTCATAGCGTCACAGGTCGACCATCCCAGAGACAACAGATAAGAGGAATTAGACCGACCGCTGGAGGTTATGCACGGCATCGAGAAACAACCTTTTTGTAAAGTTTGTGGGAAGTATTCTATGCAACAGCAGATGACTAGTGCTTGATAGACGCAAGGGCTTTGTATATGGGATAGACACTAATGATGTACAGTACACAGTGATTATAGTTTATTTATCGCGAGCTCTGCGATTCTCCACTTGATTCTTTTCAGCCCTTGACTATCGTTCCTTGCCATGCCCGATTATGTCCTGAATTCGACTGCATAACCAACCGTATCGCGGCGCATGCACGAGTTATGTTGATCCAGAAGCTCCACAGTGGAGTCATTTCTCATATCTCTCTCTCTCTCTCTCAACCCTTTGTCTGAGGGAATGGAGTCGAACCCCTTAGTGTGATAGCCACGGTGATGATCCTCCTAAAGGTAATTCAGCTTCCATTTACTTCCAAAGACCAGCATGGCAGCAGCAAAATGCCTTCTAACGATAGACAACGGCATTGGCTCCATATGCCCCTGTTTGTAGCAATCGTGATTTTAGCTCTCGAACTTAATTATAATCTTTGCTATTTCGTGCTGCTGAAGACACTATCAATTCGCTAAACGAATAAGCATTCACATTCAGAATTCTTACTGTATTTTCTTCAAAACTGCAAGTAGAAAACTAAATTTCATGGTTTGAGGGATTGTTAACTCAGCACCGTACTTGCATCTCACATGCCAATTAAGTCCTAAGTTAGGCTATCCTCCCCAGACTCCACTGCTGCCGAGTTATCTTGGAGTAAAAGCTTTTACGTTCATTATGCGAAAAATCCGAACACCAAAGCAGCAATTCTTATTGGTTTTTCACTTTGTTATATAATCTGTCACATAAAGTACCCACTAGCACGTGAAATCTTTGGAGCGAGATGTCCCACGTCATTCTTGAACTGCTGTAGTACGATTATGCTGGCTGCTTTTGCCCCTTCCGAGGCAAATTGTATTCTCCACTACAGTGAAACTCTCTCAACACAGAACAACATGCGGCGAAAGCTTCATCCGGAACACGAGACAGCAGGAATATATCACCCCATGGTGCGTAACGTGGGCGGGTCAATGTGGCCTTGGAGTTCACACAGGATCGATACAAAATGTAGAGTCATGCATGCACCTCTTGCGACAGCATCTAGGCCAAAGCTTAAGAATATATTCTTCGCCCGAAAAGAGAAAAAGGCAAAGTACAGAGAAATCTGATCAATTGGCCACATCAGATCTCAACGCATATGAAATCAGCACTCTCTGGTGCATAGTACACTCTTTCTTTCTTGTTTCCCGTTAAACACTCGGGGGTTAAAGGAAAGATCAGTTCAGATAATGTGGCGTAGGACCACAGAAACACACCCAATTTACAGAATATCATCTGAGTGATGTGAGCAGGGAAGAGTGTGACCAAACAAAACCAGCAAAGAAGATAGGACGCCCTCATCTTTTGTCACCCCTCACCCGTTTAAGACCCACCTAGGACACCAGATTAGGTGCTAATGTAGCTAGCTTCCGAGGCCAAGCCGCGGGGCACCTGATGCAGGACGCTCGTGGGGGACGACGAATGGCTCGTGGACGACCTCAGCGCCTCGGCCAACGGACCCCCCATCGAAGCCACCTGGTTCGGCGACCAGCCGGTGCCCCAATTGCCGAGTTGGGGCTGGTCCCTCTCGGCGGCATCCCTACCGTTCGCGCTGGGCTCGTCGCCGTGGCCAGTGGACAACTTCAGGGACACGTCGGAGGAGGGGTTCCCGGATATGGAGATGGAGAGGCAGGTGGACGAGCTCATCGGGCTAGCATTGCTTGAGGAGTTATCCGAATCCTGGAGCGATCTCGGCCAGTCGTCGAAGAAGTGCCTCAATATATGCCCATCGGATCTGCCGCCGTTGTTTGCCTCGCTCTGGGATTCAAAGAGGTGCTTGTTGTCGCTCTTGGGCTCGGAGTAACTGTTGAGAACAGAAAAGCACAGAGGCACATGAAAGACAGAGCAAAAGCAAGTATTAAGCAAAGAATAAGATTGAAAACTATCGAACACAAGCAAATCTTCATGGGGTCCAATGTGCTTCAAAAAAGAAGTGGTTGGGGTCAGTTAATGCAGAATCTAAGGGCTCTTTCCCAGATTTGAGGCATATAATGGATCGAGAGCTTTATTTGGGACCTACCGAGTTAAATATCATCTGACCTGAGCAGAGACCCCATTCAGATACCCACCAAATCCAGAGTTACTCTCTTTTGTAACATCAATGATCACACGAAAAATGCCCCAGCAATTTGTGCCAAGCCATATATGCTAGTAATGACTATTTTTCTTCTCTAAGCCAAGCATGTCAATAATTAGTACGTTCTCTCTATTTATTTAGTAAAAAGAGATGTGGGAGAGTTAACCTTTGGAAGAGATCAATCGAGGGCGAAGGCCCCGCGAGCGAGAAATGGCCGCCCCCGGCCACTGCCGCTAGAGGGGCGGTGGTGACCACGGGATCAGCAGATTTGAGACTACTCCCACTAAAGCCCCTGGCAGCAGCGCCACCATTGGCGGCCGCAGGCGTGGGGATTTCCACAGGCTTTCTTGAACGGTTACGGCCGCGGTGCATGTGGCGCTCGCAGTACTTCTGGCCGGGCACCACATCCCTCGAGCACCGCCACTTCTTGCCATCGGTGCGGCGGCACCTCCCGGGCTCCGGATCCATGGAGGCTCTGCCCCAATACCCTGCCTGCAACACTGACGAGAAACAAAAAAAAAGGACATGAGAGGAAAACTAACGATCAAGAAGTCCAAGACGCTCATTGAAGGAAATTTATACAACACCTTTCGAAAGATCTGAGTCTACATAACAATAACAGTGCCCATAACATACTTTTCAGGAACATATGTCATTTCATGAATTAGTAATCAGGTAGACCGGTTATTCACTGTAGCAGCAAGGTAAGGGTCATAATACAACAGTTACGACAACCAAAATATGAGACGGTGGTAAACAAAGGCTTGCTTATCTTCCCCAGATGGAAAAAGAGAAACAGAACCCAAAAAAGCAAAAGCAACAGGCTTGTTGTTGGAGTGTAAAAAAAATGCTTAAAAAAACCTACAAGCAGGCTGATATGGAGGGTAATGTTGCAGATGGCCAAGAGGGTGATGGAGGAAATAAGGGGCCTGTAGGAGGCTCTTCTTGATCGGCTGGAGCAGCTCGGCCGGGACGGCGGCTCCAGCTAGCATGTATCTGTAGATCAGAGCCTGAAGTTCCAGCTCCTGCCACTGAGCCAAGCTGAAATAGCTCCCCATCCCTGCCCAAAAGAAACCATTTTAACTTTTTTCTTGTTTCGCGGATAAAGAGAAGAAAAGGAATCAAATGACCCACCAAGAAAGTAAGAAAGCAAGAAACCAAAACCAGACCAACATAAAACTCAATCAAGCAGGAACCAAGAACGGATCCAATCAAAGCTCGGAACTTTGTTGCACCAAAACATCTTTATTTTTATTCTTTCTCATTTTCTTATGTTTGGGAGGTTACGAAGAGAGAGTGCGGGAGAAGGAGAGGGACAAGAAGCCTACTGGGGAAGGATCTGGGGGCGGCAGGAGCAGAATCTGGGAACGCCGCTGCTGACATGTTGCTGCCGAGTTTATCGGGAACAAACAGAGGGAGAGTGGAGGAGGCAGTAGCGAGAGATTGCATTGGTTGCGATTGTGATTGGGATCGTGGGTGATGGGGTTCATCAAGAACGAGCCTTGGGAACTTTGCAGGGGGTGCTTCTGCTGCTGCTTCTGCTGGTGGCTCTGACCCGTCCTGCTGCTTCCTCCATTGCTTCAGTTGCAAGTCCATGGACAGAGAGAGAGAGAGAGAGGGACAGAGAGATTGGTTGGGGGTTTGCTTTTAACGGGGTTTTTTGTTTTGTTGGGTTTTAATAGCTAAAAAAGCTCCTTGTTTTGTTTGGTGAGTTGGTATGCGAGTGGAGTAGTGTAGAGAGCAAAAGATGCAAGTAAAAGGCTTTTGCAGTGACTTCTCTGTTCCTGTAGGTTCTTTTATTTCTCAAGCAGCAACCTCCCTCCCCCACACAAGAAGAGAGAGAGAGACAGAGAGGGGGATGGTTTCTGACATGAAAAAGCCTGTAAAGTTTTGTTTTTTTTCTCAAGGGCTAGTGGGGGACGGGCTAGGGCACTTGAGAAAAAGACACTCTCAGACAAGACAGTTGAGGGAAAATAATAAACTTAAAGACACACCACTCAGCCCCAAAAAAACAAAAAAAGAAAAAAAGACAGACAGATTAAGGAGTAGATTAGATTAAGATTGAGGGAGAACAAGAAACAACCTGCAGAGTTACACCCTCTCTCTCTCTCTCTCTCTAGTGTGCTTTGCTTGGGAAATATAAAAGGAAAAGAATCAGCAGAATGCATGGGTTCTGAGCAAGAGAGAGCATAAATACGCTTTGATCTTTTCGTCTGTGTTTTACCAATTCATTTTCTTTGGAGGGTGGGTGCTTCACTTCACACTTTCCGATTATTATGTGAGAATCCAGGGGCATTTACATTGGGTTTGGGTCAGAGGGTAGGGAAGCTCGAGCTGACACAGCACAGTTCCATTTCAGTGGCGACTCAGGCTTTAATCATTCTCTTTTTCTGGTTTCTTTCAGCTGGTTGCCATCACGGGCCAGGGTCAAGAGGGACATCGGCATTTATATATATCGGTGGAGGAAGCGGAGATGTGTTTTTTGCGCAGGATCTCGAATTCCTGTACCGTACTGCTGCGAGGGAATATGCATGGAAAATACGAAGAACCGTTCATGTTCTTTTGCTCCATTTTGGTCCAAAACTGAGTCACGTGGTTTGGCCAGAAAATAATTGATCTCTTCTGCTAAGCCAGTGAGTGTTTGAGAGCATACATGAATGCTGCCAAAGGAAACAAAGTTTGAGCCTCGGTACTTTCAAGCCGAAAGGAAAGGGACAATTACGTGGGGAGTATTGAAATTCGTTACTATCATGCATTCGAGTACCGAGACTTTCATTTCGCTTATTTGAATCTGATAAACTCATCTGAATATTCAGATGAGCTCCTTAGTTGTTTTTTGACGGGAAATTTGCATAGCATTTTTTGTATTGGTTTTCGCTTTCTTTCGTTGAAATGTGGTGCCATGGAGATGTTATGCGAGGGAAAATGCGGGGGTTCCATAGGAGGTAGCGGCATCACCCCATCTTTGCCGATCGACCGGTAAGGCTCCGGTGCCATCCTCTCCCGCTCTCTTTCTCTTTCATTTTTGTTGGGAAAACTCAATCCCCGATCGATATATTCGAAGCGAATTTGATCAATGCGGAAAACATGCCCGATGACCATCAACTTGTATCACCGATCGTACAGGCATATCACACAATGAACATACCCGGTATTGTCACAGATTAAGTGCCACTTTGCGCTTGAGAGTTTTTCGATTGTCTTTCATACTCGTTTGCATTCCGAAGCAAAAGCGTTATGTTCGAAGGAGTGTGTTCTTTTGCATATGGAAAAACACGTTAGTTTTTCCAAGGGGTGCCTACTATTTATAGTGATAGGCAAATAACTACATTATGGGCCCTTGTAGCTCATGGGCCGGGTTTGGCCCATCTTGGGCGGTCCACCCATTATGTCTTTCATCTCCCACTCACCCACGATGGGCTAAACACAACTCTCTTCCTTGCAAAGTTCATATTGGCAAATAATCCGTGCAACCAGCATACTACGAGAGCTCGTTGTTATACATCTGTTAGGAATATATAACAGCTCAAATTGGGCATTATCCAAAGTAGAATTAGTATGCAGTTCTCTAGATCAATCAGTCACATTTTTTATCTCTCTTGATCTCTTTTAGTATCTCGTATATTGTATTCACAATTATGATTTACTCAAAATCATAATTGATCGACCTGTGAATACAAATATAGAATGTGACATCATAAATTAAATTGATCTTCCTTTTTCCTTAAACCTCTCCATTTCAGTCCAACTCGCTTTTTTAGAAATGCCCCGTTAGACCGAATTATCATGATCATCGGCAACATCCTAAGATAGCAAACACTGAATAGAAATTTTGAGAATAAGTAAGAGTCGTGAGGGCACTTTAATTGAGAAAAACTATTTTCCTCAAGAGTCTCACACGACTTAAAAGTTAAGATCATAACTTTTTGCCAACTCTTATCGGTCGTCTCATGCATACGTAATATAAAATACGTATTACGGTATTCTCTCCTTTTTCCATAGAGCGTATGTCTTTACTCTCAATACCGTACAGATGATAGTTTAGACATACTCAATGCCTAACTTGAGTTCACAAATCTACTCTATTCATAAGCGTCTATCAGAACTCACATCTAGCATTAAAGACAGGTAAAGTGAAATATGTGGGTCATTTCACTTTCGGACATAATAATATATATGTCATCATCTTAACATTTTGTTAAGGCGACGTCCATGCTTCAAGCTTGAGCTCTCAATTATCACCTAGATAACAAGCTTAAAACTGTCTCATCTATATTCATCACACAGTGAGTAGAGGCGATTACCCGTGTGAGTGGGCTAATCTCTCATCTGTCCGACATACCTTTTCAATATAATGCACTCAGCATTGACATTCACAAACGTCATACAAACTTATAGGCATTGATAATAACAAACTTCATTAATAGTGAACATTCAGGGAAAATTACAATATTCAGTACATCATATTCTACACAGTCCTAGAGATCTCACATGACCATGGAAAACTTCTCTAGGAATCGGCTTCGTCATAGGATCTGCTATCATCCTTTGTGTAGATATGTACTTCACGTTCACTTCCTTTCGTGCAACCATGTCCTTGACATAGTTATATTTGATATCTATATGTTTGGTCTTTCCATGGTACTTGGGATCCTTAGTGTACGCTATTGCTGCTTGGCTGTCACAATAGACCAATACTGGGTTTGCAACATTCTCAGTAACTCCTAAGTGATCCAAAAATCTTCCAAGCCAAACAGCTTCTTGTGCCGCTACTGATAGAGCCACGAACTCGGCTTCCATTGTAGATAAGGCTACACACTATTGTTTCTTACTGCTCTAAGATATGGCGCCATTATTCAGTAAGAACACGTATCCAGAAGTAGATTTCCTTTCTTTTAAATCTCCTCCCCAGTCAGCATCAGTATAGCCTTCAAGGTATAGATCACTTCCTTGATAAGTCAGCGCATAGTCGGCACTTCCCTTTAGATATCTTAGGATTCTTTTGACGGCGATCCAATGTGCTTGACTTGGATTGGATTGGTATCTACTTACCATTCCAACTGCATAACAAATATCAGGTCTTGTACACATTATAGCGTACATCAAGCTTCCGATAGCACTAGCATATGGAACTTGTTCCATTTGCTCCTTTTCTTGTGAAGTCTTAGGACACATTCTATCGCTTAATGCTTCGCCCTTTGCAATAGGAGTATCTATTGGTTTACAGTCTTGCATATGAAATCGCTCAAGGATTTTATTCACGTACGTCTCTTGTGAAAGGGATAGGGATTTCTTTGATCGATCTCTTGAAATCTTAACTCCAAGAATGTATGCAGCTTCACCCATATCTTTCATCTCAAAATTGGAAGATAACCAATTTTTTACTGTATTAACAAACTCCATACTGCTTCCGGCAATTAGTATATCATCAATATATAATGATAAGATCACAAATTGATCTTTGGATCTTTTGATATATACACAATTGTCTTCACTAATCATCACAAAATCATATGCCATTATGGCATTGTGAAAACGTATATACCATTGTCTCGAAAACTGCTTAAGGCCATATATCGACCTCAATAGTCGACACACTTTGTGCTCCTGGCCTTTTGTAATGAAACCAACAGGTTGTTCCATATAAATTTCTTCCTCTAATTCTCTATTGAGGAATGCAGTCTTTACATCCATTTGATGTAATTCAAGATCCATACTAGCTACTATTGCCAGAATAAGGCGAATAGAGGTAAATCTAACCACAGGAGAAAAAGTTTCTTCAAAATCAACTCCTTCCTGTTGATTATATCCTTTCGCCACAAGGCGAGCCTTATACCTCTCTATTGAGCCATCAGCCTTATGCTTTATTTTGAGAAGCCACTTGTTCCCAATGGCTTTGCGTCCTTTTGGAAGGTCAACTAATTCCCAAACTTGGTTTATCTTTATGACTCCATTTCCTCTTCCATTGCATGTATCCATTCTTCCTTATCAGGGCACTTTAGAGCATCGTTCACATTCTTCGGCTCATCTTCATCTTGTGGGGCGATCATGAAAGCTTCTCCTTCAATGTCAAAACGTCGACGGGGAATCCTATTACGACTTGACTGTCGTATGGAATGCTGTACTCCTGATAATTCACCACGTTCCATTGCGCTCCCACTCGAATTAGATAATGGTGGTGTCATCTCTTTAAATGGTTGCAATTGAGACTGGGTTGCATTCAACTCTCCATTTGTCACAATGCTCCCACTAACTTCACTATCACGATCCACAGATTCGTATAGTGAGTAATCTCCACCTACTTCGCCCTTTTTAGGAAATTCATTCTCTAAGAATGTGACATCCCGTAATTCAAATTCAGTTATACTTCCGCTTTCTTGCTCACCTATGAATACATATCCTTTTGAGTGCTCTGAGTATCTTATAAAAATACTCTTTTTGCCTCTCGGGCCTAATTTTTCATACTTGTGAGAAGACTCACGAGTATAGGCAGCACAACCCCAAGGTTTTAGAAAGCTTAAATCAGGCTTTCTGCCTGTCCATAACTCGTATGGAGTATAAGCAACTGATTTAGAAGGCACACGGTTAAGTATGTAGGCAGCAGTCAATAAAGCATCACCCCAAAAGGTGATGGACAAGTTAGCTTGTGCCATCATTGACCTAACCATTTCCATTAAGGTTCTATTTCTTCTTTCCGCAACACCATTTTGTTGAGGAGTATGTGGAATAGTCAGTTGTCTTTCTATTCCCTTCTCATCACATAAATTTCTGAACTGATCAGACAGATATTCTCGACCTCGATCGGATCTTAATGATTTTATTTTCTTGTCTAATTGATTTTCCACTAAG